GGGAGTCCCCCCAACCGCGATCTCCGGCGTGGGACCGCCGGCGACCGGGTAAGTTAACAAAAACCGGAGGGCGTACAATTACGCCCGGCGGCGTTTAGAGCCGCCTATTAGAGGGCGTAATTGTACGTCCTCCGGTTTTAAGGGGTTAAAAGATGTTGGGAAAATGCACTGGACATAGAAAATAATTTACAGACATTATTAGTAAAATAATATCTTGTAATAATAGCATTTTGCATTTCAGTGAATAGAATTAAAATTGATATAAGATTGTCAGTTCTATTTTAAATAGTATAAAAAAGAAAGCGTATACAGAATTTTCAAATTGAGGATGAGATGGCTAAATGACAATCTATTAGTGTGAAATTATTTTTCGTTTTAAGTATATAAACTCTATTTTTAAATTTCAATACACTAGTGTAAACAACTACCCTCTCAACAACGTGTATGTAAAGTCTAACTTTTCTTTGCATTGCAAACAAATACGTTTATTCTTATTCAGTAGTAATGTGGAAGGAGAGGTCTTGGATAGTGATGTCCCGAACGGTTTGCGAACATTTCATCGCAAACGGTTCGCCGAACGGTTCGCCACGGACTCATCATTCCAGCCAATCAGCAGCAGACCCTCCCTCCCAGACAGCATCCATTTTGAAGCTGCATTCTTAGTGAGCTGTCCAGGAGTTGGGAGGGTCTGGGAGGGAGGGTCTGCTGCTGATTGGCTGGAATGATGAGTCCGTGGCGAACCGTTCGGCGAACCGTTCGCGGTGAAATGTTCGCAAACCGTTCGGGACATTACTATCCAATATCTCTCCTTCCACATTACTACTGAGGTAGGCTTAGTAGACAATCCCAGACACAGATAATAGTAGGAGTAGGTCCTAGACAAATAAAAAGCATCTCAATCTATAATAAAGGTTTGTGTAAAGGAGAAACAAGATACTCTTTTGAACTGCTAATTACACATCAATAACCAGGCAAATTGAAGTGAGCAGGAGAGAGAGAACATGATGGAGACATTTATTTAGAGCTAAAACAAATTTTCATCCTGCCTAGCAGATCTAAAAAAAACAAAAAAACAACATAATATCAAAGAGATAGACTTTTGTAGTCTGGAAAATATTAGCAGTTTTCAATCAGTTGTGGATTCTTACAATTTTTGAATATGATCTCTACTAAACTGACCAGATCTTAAAAGATAATATACTACTACTTCCCATGAGTAGAATAGGTCTAAATTGAATCTGAATACACAGAGCATAACTTGGTGTTTTCACTTCTAGTGATATTTAATTTGGGGGCTCCAAATATCTCTCACAGACGCTCATGCTTTATTTTATATAACCCAGGACATTACAATGAATATCAGACATTGGTGACTTTGCTGAACACAATGTAACCTGTTAAATAGAGCCTGGATAAGGCTTTTAAGTGAAATGATTGAAGCATATGAGTTACGAAGATACAAATTACACATTTTCAACTTTCAAGATTTAACATTGTTTTAAAATACTCACTTGAGTACTCACAAAGAGTAATAAAAATACCAAGGCCAGATATTGTCTCCTACCTCTACTCACCTAATCACGTGACAAGTCAACAGTGAATATAAGTAATCATCTGTTTGAGTGAGTGTATGTCTATAAATAAGTGCCTCACCCAGGTATGAAACATGTAAAGGGAAGGATTTGAGAGTGGTTTGTTTGTTACTTTTTTAATAGATAGTGCTATTGTCCTATGGATTATTTGTGCTCGCTAGTTTTCTATGTAAGCTTTTTCTTTTGTTATGAATTTGAATAAAGCTAAGTGTTTATGTCTTGGATCTACAGTGTGTTTTTTTTTTGTTATAGCCGCATTCCTATTTATGAGTGTGTATAATTCTATCTATATATTAATCTCATGAGAGCAGACATTAGGTTGCAAAAGTAGGGCCTGCCAAGTACATTGGCATTGTGGCAGGTTTATGCAATGTATGATCACTTCCTGTAACGAAACCACCATTATTTTTTGCCTAGGTGAAGTGTTTTTAAATAAAACTATTACATTCTGTGAGCTTTTAAATTGCTGTTTAGTGAATAAGTGAGTGCGCTGGATCTTGTATGTTGTATGAATTGGCCACAGGAGCAAGCTTGTAAGTATGCAACCACTTGATTTCATATATAAATGTATTTGAGATTCAGGGCCAACTCCACAGTTTTGAACCCTACTCTGTAGCAGGTGCCTCAGTCCAGGGTCCTATTTAACCGTGTCCTGCAGAGAGTCCCAGGAGGAAGCATTTCCCTAGTAAGTGAATTAATCTCATAAGAGCAGGCATTTGGTGCTAGAGTAGGACCTGCCATGAATGGGCTACATTGACATTGTGACAACTAAACCCCCATTATTTTCACCAAGGTGAGGTGCTTTTAAATAAAACTATTGAATTCTGTGAGCCTTGAAATTGTTGTTTAGTGAATAAGTGAGTGCGCTGGATTTTGTATGTCATATCTGTTTGTTACTCTCTCTCTCTCTATATATATATATATATATATATATATATATATATAGAGGAAAATGTATTCCTACTTACCGTGTCATTTTCTTTTCCTGTTCATGGCAGCACAACAATGGATAGCTCCTCCCTATCCATAATTAGATAGGAACCTAATTAAAAAAAGAAGATATAAGTAACCCCTCCTACCTCTCCCACCCTCAGTCTTGTTTCCAGCAATATCTCAGGGTGGGATCGTTGTGCTGCCATGACCTATGACCAGGAAAATAAAACGAAGGTAAGTAGGAATACATTTTCCTTTTTCCTGGGTATACCCATGGCAGCACAACAATAGGTAACACCCAAGCAATAACCAAGGGAGGGAAATAATTAAAGTCACACACAGGCAGACTTCCAATATAGGAATGCAAATTGACATTAGGACATTGGAAATTAAAAATTGATTGTCCACAATTGCCACATTATCAAATTGACCAACTCAAATGTACCAAAAACAAATTCTGAAAATTATTGGTTGAGGAACAAGCAGCTATTTACCTATAAGTTCCAGGGAAACTTGGCCACTGATGCTCAAGAGGGAGAAATGGCTCCAGTAGAGAGCAAACAGACCTTTAGGTACTGTAACCCCTTGGGCTCAGGAGCCTAAAAAATATCCAAGACTGTCCATCTGCTGATGGCTTATATAAAGGGTTGGAGACCTTTCTGGTCTATTATTAAAGATAAACAGACTACCAGAAGAAAGCCAGAAACCAGATCTATATAAATAGATCTTAAGACATCTATCTAGGACAGGAGGTGAAAGTTTCATTACTGACTCTACATTCCATTTAATAGGCATCTCAACTCTGTAAAGGTAGCCAAGGATATATGTTTTCCATGGCCTTTAGAAGGGTATTAATTACTGTAGTTCAAAAACCCTTATATTTAAGCCCTTCTTTACAATATCAAAACCTTCAGAATGAGGAAAGTAGCACTGGTCCTGATGGAAGAGGGAAGAACACTGTAGCGGATTGATTTGGGCTGCTTTCGTTAATTTCCTGCTATGTGTATTCATATTGTATGCAGCATTCGGATTGTTCGGTAAAATCACTCTGTTCATCATACGAATGAAACTACCGAACAATCAGACCACCCTAGGGATAAGTGTGCCTCTCATTTACCCCCCTTGATTCATTGTAACAACCAGCTAATTGGCAATTGAGTAACCCTCCATGTGGGCTCGCGGGGTGGCGCCGTTCGGCATACGAAAAGGTGGCGGCGGCCATCTTACATACGAACGCTCAGCGGTGTTTGGTCATCGAGTGTCTGGAACCCAAATTGGACACTCGATTACCCGAACACCGCTAAGACCTCCAGAGCTCCAGAACTACAGAATGGACCCACAAATGGACCCACGAATCAGGCCATCATTCGTTTAAGTGAATCTCCCGAACAAGGGGATTCACCCGAACCCCACCTCAGGGTTTTCGTGATTTTTATGTCCCGAACAAAGACCGACCGCAAGGCCAAAACACATGGAAGTGTTTTCGGCTACTGCCTCATGTGCGGTCGGTCAAATTTCTACTTCCACCTAATTCCCGAACCCCTGGTGCGATCTGGGTGATTTTTGAATATGTTACTCACTTAGATCAGGGCTACCAGGGGATATATAATGTAACATTGTATCTAATATAGCTGAAAACTGGGTAAAACCATATACTGTATAAGTGGATTATGTGTCATACTGAGGGGAGGAGAAGTGTGGGAGGTAACAAGTAAAGGATTGGCTACTGTACTAATGATTGTGGGTGTCTCCCTTGCATGGGAGAAATGCTTAAAAGGAAGGGTGTGTGGAATAAACGTTAGTTCTGCTCCTGATGTTGTGTGTCGTCCAGTCATTGGGAAACGTGATGGGATACTTTTGGATTATTTTACTAACCGTGGATATTATTCTCTTGGGTTTTGTTACTTGTTCCTGAGCCTCAATTGGATTACCAGCGGAGATAGTCTGTGAGAGACCAGCTCTCCGCTACAAACACTTTTTGAAGATCCCATGGAGGTACTGAAGAAGATAAGTAGAAGTGGAAAACATGGACGGGGTACCAATATGGAAATGTCAGTATGATTGATATTGGCTCTTGCTACCTATGCAGAAGAGAAGTGTCCTGAACGTATTTGATATTGGAGAAAAGTTCCTCAACCCCAGTGGATGGTATTCATAGTTATCACTGTTCAATAGATTTCCATAGGAAAGTTAACCTCCTCCCTTGTGCCATCTTATCAGATCTATGGTGGAGGACCTAGATCAAAACTCTCTCTGCTGAGGTAATATGATAGTCTGAAGAGAACTGTACTGTGCCTCGGACTGTGTCAAACCATGTTCCCAGCTATACCCTGAACCAGGAGGGAGCAAGGTGACTACAGCAGACATTCATCTTTCACCATGAAGATGTAAAAATAAAAGTGTCATTCCACTGCAATCTGAAAAACATCTGGTGATGTGGGGCAATGGATACATTGCAATAAGCATCCTGCAAATCTATAAACATCATCCAATGTACTAAGAATACTACCTTTATGATGAAGAATGTTCAAGAATCCTGTAAACTAGAATGGATCTCCAGCACCTGTTAGAAACAGATTCTTTGTGTTCTAGTTGCTTTAAAAATTCTCACAATTGCTCACTCAAATTGAAGGGAAGCCATGAAATTAACAAAGCATCTTTTTTTACCTTTTGTCTTCCTCTAGTAGAAAAATGACCACTTATATCAAGGTTGAGATCTAGCCCAGCTAGTAGACACAGAGAAAGTCATATTTCTGGCTAGAATATAATGCAACCTACATAGGCATCTTAGCTGAGGACTATTTCTGGCTTAATGACAAGAAAATTGTCAACATACAAAAGAAATGTTATCTCTGATATGCTCCTACAAATTATCCATACCAATCTTAGATCCTTAGAGATTGAGGTAAGACCTTACAGCAAGATGAAAGCCTGTGCCAGCTACCACATAGGCTTTAGAGAGGAGCAGGACCATGTATACACCATGGAGTTTAAAAGAGATCCCGCATTGTTTACAGGCAGAGTAAAAACATTCAGCCAGTCTAAGTTCTGCATCGTCTACTTAGGAGCAGAGTACCTAAGTAGACGTCTGAAATCCCAATGGATGAAGACTGAGATACTACCTTGTGTTAAAAGCTTCTCTCAGTGTAGGACCATTCCTCTATTAAGGAACTGTAAAAGATGCTCTACACCATCTGACATCCGAAAA